CCTTGAACACACACAAAAAATTTCATCACAATCGGTCCAGTCGTTTGAGATAAGTTTAGTGACATACACACAGTAGAATTATATATTTAAAAAAGATTAAATAAAATTGTATGGATCGCTTCCTTATTTGGAAATATTTATACGTGAAGTTGTATGTGAATTGCGTTAACCAATAATGAACTTAATGTACCTAAAATTACCGTTGGAAGTTAGATTTCAAATACATTGTTATCATTTAGTTTGTAATACATAGTTTGTTTATGTTAACTTCATTGTTAGGTAAGCATAGAAATTGAGTAGAATCTTTTCTTTGTTAAACTGGTCTCGATAAAGAACTATCAATTGGCTAGTTTCTTAGGTTTAAAACAAATTGTTTCAACTTTTCAATGTCAAAAATAATTAAAAAATAGTCAAACTCTCGTCCATTGATTTGACAATTTACCTACTTTTGGATTTTTTCTCGCTAATTTTAAGGAAATAAATATGCCATTTGATGCAGAAATATGATGACGTTACGTTGAAAGTTACGATGCAATACAAAATTCATAGAAAAGTATAGTTTTTGACATTTCAATAAAAGTATTGAATTTGACTATCTGTCAACACTACCGTATAATTAATTGTTATTAGTTAATGTATGTTTATTTAGTGAAAGTAAAACTCATCACAGACGGCTCATTTACACAGAGTACCTACCTCTATATTACTATAACACAGTTATCTATGCCATAACTTATAAACCATTAGCAATATAGTCCGTGCGAACTTCTTACCTATTTAAAACCAATATCTAAGTTTATGTCATACTCTTAGATAGCAAGCAAATAAGGGTGTACAAGGGATATGATTAAGGAACTGAGTCCGGATAACAGCGCTTTCTACTAACCCAGACCTTTTTAAACCCCGAACTATAGGTTAAAGATCAAAAAATGGCAGGGTAAAGACTTTACCTTGCCTTTTTTTGAGTGGGGATAATCATCCAACGACTTCTCCCACTTGGGTGAGGCGACAGGGAGTGTCAGACTCTTACTAAATAAAAACCACCCCGTTCCTACTCCTGTACTTCGAGCCAGGGCCCTAGCAACCCGTTAAGTCCTCCACGGCTCCGTATCGGCATCAGCCCTATTGGGCCCCAACTGTGGTATCTGAAGACTCTTTGATCCGCCAACCAGACGCGCTGTACGCTCGGGATCTATACCCTGCCTGCCTAAGAATTATGGCAAACACTAATGTAGAAAAGACACGCAGTTTAATATTGACTGTTAAAATTGTGATTCAAACATTAACAAGTAGACAACTTTGTCAGCGATAAGAGTGCTTTAATGAACAATCCTTTATTTAATTTGTATTTATCTTACATCAACATACGTAATGTATATTATGTATGTAGACACGTAACATGAGATAACTCATCCATGACTAACATAGACAAGGGACATCGTATTTGTATCGTCTTTCTTGTTGGCTTAACAATTTTAGGATCACACAAAAAGTTCAAACTTACATGTTGTTACGCTGCAGTCAGCTGCCCAGCCAGTACGCCAATCGTGTAGTGAGTCTCTTACCACTCAGACAATAAATGGCAATAACTTAAATGTAAAAATGATAGAAATATATCTGGCTTTTTGTTTAAAATGTGTAAAGTACATCGTCCTACGGGTCGTGAAGCGCCCACGAAGTGACATTTGCCGTGTTCCCGGTTCATAAACTCATCAACGAACCGCCATTATGTAATCAGCCTAAGCTCTAAAATAATAATTTTGACATTTACACCGCCATGTTGGTACTTTGGTACATATTTGAATTTAGAATGTATGTGAAATGAAATTTGTTTTTTTACGTGTTATGTTTTGGACTGTTATTTATGTTTGTACGTTTTTGGAATTTTTGATCTTCAAAAATTACAGTTAAAGATTTTAATCGTTGTTCAAATGAAACGTGATTCATTTCATAGCACACACAAGCTCAAAGTGAATGTAATATTGTCTTCATATTGTAATGAAAGCAGGGTTATGGTGTAGCGTGCCACAATTAATATGAAATTCCCAGAACGTAGCCTACTCCAGCGTATCATCACTGAAATTCCTAATTACTAGGCGTTTTAATGAGAAGGCATAATCAGTCAAAGCCAGCAATTAAATGTTGACTAGAACTAGATTTGTGTGCGCTTAGTTCGCAGTACCCCCCTCCTCTACCCTCGTTAGTAACTGCGACAGTTCAAAGCAATCTCACCTTTGTGGCTCATCCGCTTTGATCTCGACACGGATCGATTTAATTTTAGCTTTCTTGTAATTAAAATTGAGCAACTGAAGTATTTTATTTGAGCACAGTCGGCCACGATTATTTGGACAGTAAAAATATTTTAATGCTCGAAGCAAAATATAAGATCATTTTCTAAAGGTTCATTAACAGTTTACAAATTAGTACCTCCTTTAATTTTGAGTACTCATTATCATATTATAATTTTAATAGCTTTAGACTAAGAAGTTTTAAGTGTGGGAGAGCCATGCTTCGGCAAGAATGGGCCGGCTCGACCGGAGTGATGACGTGAAGCAACGCTTGTGTTGTGTTTTGTCGTGTGAGTGAGGTTACCGGAGGCCCAATTACCCTCCCTTTCCCCAATCTCCCCAATTCCTGAATCCCCAACGATCCTCAAACTCCTATTCCCCAAAAGGCCGGTAACGCACTTGTAACGCCTCTGGTGTTCCAGGTGTCCATGGGCGATGCCCATTGCTTACCATCAGGTGATCCGTCTGCTCGTTTACGGCATATGCCATAAAAAAATAAAAAAAGAAAAGGTAGCACCTTAGGGCGTGCGAGTATTAGCAAAAATTCTGGAAATTAAGCCACGTCTATAAAAATAATATATAATAATTTAGATGAAAAACCTCTTTTGAAAAAAACTTTTCCACCGATTCGAATAATGTTGGAGTATTTTGAAGAGTGTTTCCAAACCTACACTTGATATGCAAACAAGTCAGAAATCGCATTTAATTAAGATGCATATATTTAGCGATCTTGCTGTCCAACCCTTTGTGTTTGATCGCTCTTGAATTAACTCGTCGAGTACCGGTTTTATAGACACAATTAAAGAACAATAGGTCGCGGTCACCGGTGACCGCTTGGTGTTTGACAGTTTAAAGTGTGGGAGAGCCATGCTTCGGCACGAATGGGCCGGATCGACCGGAGTGATACCACGGCCTCACAGAAAACCGACGTGAAGCAACGCTTGCGTTGTGTTTTGTCGTGTGAGTGAGGTTACCGGAGGCCCAATTGCTCTCCCCTTCCCCAATCTCCTCAATACCTGAATCCCCAACGATCCTCAAACTCTTAATTCCCCAAAAGGCCGGTAACACACTTGTAACGCCTCTGGTGTTCCAGGTGTCCATGGGCGACGCCGATTGGTTACCATCAGGTGAACCGTCTGCAAAAAAAAAAGTATTGTGAGCTTACACAAACCACATATAAAAGAAAAGTCATGGAAAATTCTAGAAAGTTCTCGAATAAAGTTCTTGTCCTCCATTGTAATCGCATTCATAAACCGAACTCAGAGTAATGCGTTATTCATTAACATTGTACCGACAGCTCACAATGACTTCTGTACGGGTTATACAGTCTGTCTGTTTATCTGCCTCTGTATAATGATTCATAAGTAATGAATCGGGATTAATATTCGCCTTTAAATCGGAGGTTGAATTCGAATCGCCTTTGTCAACTCTTGTCATATCGTTGTGGACAGTGCAAAGCTCTGTTGACTTTGAATATTTGCGATTTTACGTCTTTATCTCGGTCAGTTTAACTCGTCGAGTACCGTATTTATAGACACAATAGGTTGCGATCACCGGTGACCGCTTGGTGTTTGACAGTTTACGTTATCGTTTTTACATAATGTACCTTTCTATATTTGCGATTTTACGTCTTTATCTTGGTCAGTTTAACTCGTCGAGTACCGTATTTATAGACACAATAGGTTGCGATCACCGGTGACCGCTTGGTGTTTGACAGTTTAAGTTATCGTTTTTACATAATGTACCTTTCTTTTGAGAAGAGTAAATTATCGAATGTCTCTTCCCGTCCTCGAGAGGGGGTGTTTGACTCTTACTGACTAAAGAGCACCCTGATCTAACTCCTGCTTCGAGCCGAAGCTTGCATCGGTTATCCTTGCAGTTGTCTGCAGCCCCGGTTGGACGTTCTTAGTGCACTTTTTTTAAGGGAGAAAAAAATAATCATACGTGCACCTAAAACTGTGATATTATTCATTTCCATTTGACTTATAAAATGCAATCTATCGCCCGAAAAACAACGAGGTACCTCATATTTGTGGTCGTAGTAGTTCTGCTGTCGATATCACCTATCAGTTGTCATTCATTTGTCATCTGGAGTAGATATTTTTGTGGTTTGTTTGGTACAAACCTCTGCGTACAAAACGGATGTAATATACATAAAATAGTTATCTACATTTTATATAGATTGTAAAAATATAGACTGCCTCGTTGGCCAAGTGGTCGCAAGTACGACTGCCGGGTAAAGGGTCTCGGGTTCGATTCTCAGGTCAGAAACGTATTACTGGGTTTTTAAAAAATTCTCAGTAGTAGCACGGAGTCTAATATTGTGCCCGGTATATGGCAATAGGCTCACCCCCTATTACATGGGACTCTTAACAAAAATAGTGAAAAGTGGGTGGAAAAGTACATTGTCATCTTCAATTGTACAGTGACATATTTACATTGTACAGTGACATAATGTGCACCTCTGCCTACTAACAGGCGTGATGTTATGTTATGCAAAAATATTGTTTTACGATGTTAATAAGCAAACCCAACACGAAAAGAATTAGCTAAATCACTTCAGCGGTTCTCGAGATTGGCGCTTAGGAACACATTCAGCTATTCATTTTTATATTATAGATTGGCTTGCCAATAGATAATGGTTTAGGATTGGTTGGATGGTTTATTCTTATTTAATGTATAATTCTTTATTCTTTCAGAAACCAACCCAAAATGGCACTTCCATTCCCGTATGAGATCAAGGACGTCACCGAAGAAGAGGACAAAGTTATAAAGAAGTATTACAAACGTAAGAATATACGGACTAAGAATTCAGTATGAGGAAAGATAAAATAATGATCTCATTGAACAACTTAGTGGAAAGTTAATAATTGATTGACAGAAATTCAATAGAACTAATGGGAAAAATTAACATCAATCCAAGATGGATAGATTATTCGTTTTGACCTTTAAACTGGTGAAAAATAGCAAAAAACATTTGAGTAAACCATAATTAATTCGTGTTTTAGAGTACACGAGGCCATTCATCCGAATTGGTCCACATGGATACATTTTAAACGCTGGATACGCAGACCATGCTTCTGAGATTTATAACTTCGAAGTGCGACCTGATGATGTATGGGTTACCACCTTCTCTAGATCAGGTAAATCTAACACTTGTAATATATTATTTTAAAAAACTGCGTAGAGTCTTGGCTACACATACAATCGCAATCGAAACTTTTTTTTTGAGGGGATAATCATCCAGTTTCTTTTCCCGCCCGGTTGAGGCGAGAAGGAGTGTCAGCCTCTTACTGACTAAAAACCATCCCGTTCCTTCTCCTGCACTTCGAGCCGAAGCCCCAGCAACCCGTTAAGTCTTCCCCGGCTCCGTATCAGCATCAGCCCTATTGGGCCTTATCTGTGGTGGTCTGAGGGCACCTTGAGGCGCGCGCGGAGCGCGACGCGCCGTACGCTCGGGTCGCCGCCAGCAGGCCCCGCAATCCAAACCTGCAACCTACTTTTGTAGTCTTTTCGAACCGACTAATTTACTGTTTATATGTTGCTGTCAAGCATAAAGCCAAATTGAATGAACTGATTGATTTCGTAATTCTAAGCAGTATTAGAACAGACCGATTTTTAGATAGAATCCTGACATCTAACCTCGATCCTAAAATTCTTCCACATTTCCCTATCTAGCATTTCGGGCTAGAAAAAAGGTTATGTTAATTTTGACTATACTCACCCTAGTCCTCAAATTAATAATGTTTAAAAAATGTGTGGTATTACATATATTTCTAAAGGTTCCACTCTCTGTTATCGGTTATCAGTCACGAAGATAGCAACCACCGTCATAAAATGTTATCATCTAACGCCTATGGATGGGTGCTTAGTACATATCTGTGGTCTATAATATCTATTTATTGAACAAAAGAATTTTAGGTACCTATTATGATTCTGCAGATCATTATGTACTTTGACTGGTTGATTTGGCTTTTATACATATAACCTAGCAATTTCAATTAATTCAATTTTTATCACCAAAATTATCATAGAAAGAGAAATTTTTGGTCCCAAGAATACCCTCGTCTCAAACCAAAAATGCATCAAAATTAGTGAAGTGGTAAAAGACAGTTCACTATTAGACATCACTACTTATAGATGATTCATTTTTGATTATCTTTAGTTAAAATTTTGCAATCGACTACCTCTCTACTTAACTTAGTAAGCACATCTGCTTAAATTCAGTCAATGATAAAACAAAAAAGTATTTCTATTCGATCTTCAAATTCCCCATCACACCATTTTTTTAAGGGTGGAAAATCATCGAATGACTGCTCCCGCCTGGGTGAGACGGGAGGGAGAGTCAGACGCTTACTGACTAAAAACCACCCCGTTTCTTCTCCTGCACGTCGAGCCGGAGCCCCGGTAACCCGTTAGGTTCTCCGCGACTCCGAATCGGCATCGGCCCAGTTGGGCCTCATCTGTGGTGGTCTCTTTGAGGCGCGCGCGGAACGCGACGCGCCGTACGCTCGGGTCTGTTTCTGGTCGGACGGGGAGCCACTCATGCTCGCCGTCTGCAGGCCCGCGCTTACGGTGGCCGGAGATCATCCTGCGATCCCCAACGCCCGGTGTGTCCTTCGCGAAGGCTGGGTTGCGAGGGGGTAGCGCTTCGCTGCCTCACGCGTCCCGCCTCCTCCTTAGCTAGCATAACTGCTTCGCAAAAGGAGGAGACGGCAACCCAGTCCCCCTCGCTCCGCATCATGACCTGCACTAGGCCCGGACGCGAGAGGTCGCCATCCCCATCACACAATAAAGCCTCATCTCTTTAAGAACTTTTGTTTTGTTTTGTTAAAGTTTTCCCAACACAACGAATGCACCTATTAAGATACACAAGACTACATACCTACCATTGAAAAGCAATCAGTTACGTGGCTAATTAAACACAATATCTGCCATTACTCTCGAAACACAGGCATACAGACGCACAAATTAATACTCCAACCTAATTAAACTCCAATACTAAGTATATGTCTGTATAATTACCTAGAATTTACTACTAATTGTGTACATAATATTAATTTCATTAGCCATACAAATATTACATGAATCAGTTATGTTTGGGCAGACTAACTTTGACGGCGACTGCACTCTCGTTGTTTATTATAGGTCAAGCTTGATTTTAAACCCTCAAGCGTCCTTATGAGCACCCGGTGGATCATAAGAAAAAATGCTCCATGTTGCTTTCTCTTTTATAAAATCTATTATTAATGTTTTGTTTTTATTTTGACTGTATTTGTTTTATTTCTATTGTAATGACCTGTTGGATCTTTAGGAACGCGGTCGCTCGACGGGTTAATGTAACCGCCTAAAAAGAATCAAAGAAGCATATTATATATCACTACATAGTCTAGAACAAAGTCGCTATCCTCCGCCTGTCTGTCCCTATGTATGATTCGATCTTTAAAACTACGCAACGGATTTTGATGCGGTTTTTTTAATAGATACCGTGATTCTTAAGGAAGGTTTATATGTATAATACATGCTTATTGTAGCCATGCGAAGCCGGGGCGGGTCGCTAGTACCTACATATATGTATATGTAAGAAATACATAATATTAAGATTACATACATACGCCCGAATACTGAAATGCTACTGTAATTTGAAGTTGTACTTAAGAATCATGCCATCTCTGTCATTTTAAAAAGAATTTGTAGAGACAGAACTATACTTAAGCGCGACTTAAAGTTGAGTAACGTTTGAGTATTTCAACAATAGTAAATTATGTAATATATTTACGTCATCAAGTTTTCTTGAAAATGTGAAGCAAAAACAAAGAATTTTTCTGTGTATAAAAAGTATGCAGAAAGCATTCAGCAACTGAGCGCGTTCAGCGCTCTGATTGGCCGGCTCAAGTGAACCCACCAATCAGCGCCGAACGAGCTCGATACTATTACTACGTTACGAAAGCGATAGTTATTCGCTTTACTTACTTGACACTCAGTAGTGGGTCTAGAAACCTCAACCTCTTTAAGAATAGTATGTCTAACTTTGTGAATTTTCCAGGCACCACGTGGTTGCAAGAACTCGTATGGTTGGTAGCGAACAACCTCGATTTTGAGACAGCGACGAAAGACTCGATAACCAAAAGATTCGCTTACATTGAGTAAGTTAACTTTAAGTTTTATTTAATTTTTTTATTTAATGTTGGTACGATCAGAATTAAAAGTTGATAAACACATTTAGATTCAAAATCGCTATACGATAATTGAATAATAAGAAATAGAAGTCTTCCAGCTAATTTGTAAGAAATAAGTATGCTGTTTGAAGCTAAAAATATCTGACGTCACAATACACAATCTCGTACAAAATTCATAGAAAACTTTCGTGGTGACAGTTCGAAAAAAGTATTGAATTTGAATAGTTGTCAAAACAACTATTCAAATTTAATACTTTATTATTCGTATTATTTATTTCTGGCGCTTGTCATGGTGACCGATTTAGGTTGTTCGCTGTACAGCGATTTTGAAAATCTAAATGTGTTCATCCACTTGTTAACCGTACGTACATAAGGTAATATTTATTCGTCTTCCAATGGATAAACCATCGACATCTTATCGATGGTTTATCTTCTTCTTTTCTTTTCTTCTTAAAATGCCGGCTCCTGTGACGCCTCTGGTATTGCGGGTGTCCGTGGGCGGCGCTGATCGCTTACCATCCGGTGATCCGTCGGCTCGTATGCCTCTTATTCCATAAAAAAAAAGTCAAAGTTGAGCATTACCTAGCACCTACTACTAAAACTTTACTGCTTTTTAATTTCAATATGGCTATATTTAACACATTTCAGCAAATAAAAAAGAATATATCAGCCACTCTAGGGATAAGATTTAACCGCTTGAATGGCGTATATAAGAAACAATAGAAAATACATTGTGTTTCGCATGGATCCACGTTTAGACACACGACGGGTTAATAGTAACTTTATCGCTTAATGTTAAGAATCAAATCAAATCAAATCAAAATCAAATCATTTATTTGCAAAATCAATTACGTAATACTAATATTATGATGTACTATTGTGTATGTAACATAATTACCTACTTGTAAGTATGCTGTAGCATATAATTGCAATTGTTTTTAAATAATCAGATCCGGGTTCCAATTTCAATCTATTTAGTTAAAGACAACCTGCATACGTACATCTGATTACATTAGATAACTAGATAGGTACATATTATTATAATTTCACCGCTATATATCGTCACAATCTGATAAGATATCTATCTTGGTATCTAATCAATTATGATTTTTTTGCTCTAAGTACCTATATCTTACCCACGGAGTGTAAATTGTAGTAAACTTTTTTTTTATAATGTTTTTTTTTTGCTTTAATGTTGTTTTTTTTTTAATTTTGTTATTTTATGTTTTTTATATTGTTTTTTTTTATTTTTGTTTTTCAATGTTTATGTTGTGTGTTAATTTTCGGTGGTCCATGTCTGGTGGCGAATAAATTATTTTTCTTTCTTTCTTTGAGTTCATAGGTAAAATACAAAAATATGTTCTATTTTATTTTGATATTGTTGACAGAACACTAAATGCTTAGGCGTCACACTTAAACATTTCGCACCTTTAAAATAAATTCAGTATGTAAAGTAAATGAACATTTTCATAAATTGAGTATTTACATGAATTGACTATATAGAGGTAGAAGCCTGAGATAACTAGATACATAATACCATTAAGTCACATCATGAAACTTTTCTTTAATAAAAAAGCTTCAAAGGTGCGATTTGCTATGACTATTTCGAATTGAGCATGATATCCTAGTATCTAGACTACTGAAAGTGAAATAATACTCCATCTTTTGCTTTCAATCCCCTTCGGGAATAAACAGACGCGGTATCATGATTCTGTTATAAAGTTCCCATTGAGATAGAAGATCCTTTCACCGAAGTAAACCAACTAAAATAAGCCTTCAGAAGTCAGTGAACTTTAAAAGATAATCTTGTATTTTATTTATACAAAACTTGTATCAGGTACACGACCCTAAATTTGGAGATACATGGGGACCAGGAATTAAGCCCAAATGCTCCCCGAGCGACGTTCGAAGATTTCCGAAGTTTGCCGAAGTCGCCATCGCCGCGGTTCATCAAGTCCCATTTACCGCTGTCACTTCTCCCGCCTAAATTACTTGATACTACCAAAGCAAGTATATTTTTGTTATTTTTTTTAAAGAAAAAATGATATCATTCCTTTTTTGAATATTTGATTGCACAAACAAACCTTCTTTGTCCATAATAACATGATTTTGGGGTATATTCAAATAAGTCGACCTCCATTAACGTTGTTTACATAAAAAAAACAAAAACTGCGTTTAAATAACCGACTTCAAAAAATCAAAAACTAAAAACAAATAACTTCAAATAAGAAGTGGTAACTAACCCTGCGTGTAAAAAACCGACTTCAAAAAATCGAAAACTAAAAACAAATAAGAAGTGGTAACTAAAAAGATAAATATAACTATCAATTATAGTGATAGGTTAACCACACACTGATAGGTTAGAAGTCAGTACCATAAAAAAACAATCATTCGAACATATACCTGCTCCTTCTTTTGATGTCGGTAGAAATATCTGTTATAATATAACAGGTTTTTTGTTTTTTTTTTTTGTTCATGCCATGTTACACACGGTGTCTTAGTTTTTACTGTTTTTCCTGTCGAAGGACTGCAGGAAGAGATTCCTACGGGTATATGTAGTTCCTATGTAATCGAACTAATTACCCCTCCAATTTATTTTTATATGTATTTTCCTGTTTACTGTCTGTGTTTTGCATAAATAAATAAATAACAAAATGCGCCTTTAAAGTTAAAAGTGTGGTTCTAAATAATATTTTCTGCGTTTCAGGTGTTCTACATAGCCCGCGACCCGCGAGACGTGGCGGTATCGTTTTACTTCGCACACAAACTGTTCCGATACTTCGACGACAATGTCCAACTCAAGGAGTACTGGGACCTGTTCCAGAAAGATTTGAGTAAGCGTTCTAGATGTTTCTATTCTATTTGAAAATATTGCTTTTGCCTCGTTCACCGAACGGTCACAAGTGGGACGGCTAGGGGTCTCGGGTGCGATTCCCTGGTCGGTATTACTGGGTTTTGAAAAAAATTCTCAGTCGTAGCACGGAGTTTAGAATTGTGCCCGGTATATGGCAATAAGCTCACCCAGTGAATACCAGTAAATAGTGAAAAGTGGGTGTTACATTGTACAGTGGCATTAAGTGCCGTAATGAGCTTCTAGACGTTCGGGGATAAAAGCGTGATGTTATGATTGAAAATATTTATTTGTCTGTGTCATTACAATTACCGTTAGTCATTATTTCTTAGGTTCGATTCCGTAGTTCAACTTGAGTTCTTTAATTTTGGAAATCGGTACCTGCTATAGTTCGGGATATTATATGGATGATGGGACTCATACAATAACTAACATACAGAAACTTGTAGTTGCATTTACTACTATATCTATATCATCATCATCATCATCTACAGCCTATAAATGCCCACTGCTGAGCAAAGCCTCTTCTCACATGGAAAAGATTAGAGCATTAATCACCACACTTGCTCAATGCGGGTTGGCTATATCTATATGCACCTGTAGTTTTAATTTTATTCTCTTAATTTTAATGTTTTTTTTTTCAGTACTTCACACACCCATATTCCCTCACGTTGTGGAAGCTTGGGAAAAACGAGAACATCCCAATCTAATGTTTTTGTTCTACGAAGACATGCAAAACGTAAGTGCTTGATAACATAAGTCATTGGATGATGCCGCTGAAGGCCCAACGGGTTGCTGGGGCTCCGGCTCGAAGTGCAGAAGTAAGAACGGGGTGGTTTTTAGTCAGTAAGAGTCTGACACTCCCTCCCGCCTCACCCAAGGCGGGAGAAGTCATTCGATGATTTTATTCACACAAAAAAAATGTCGTTGTATGATTCCCCCCCCCCCTCCAAAACAAGGGTGCTTGTTTGGGATAGTCTATGGTATAAACGATGAATGAAAAGGTCGTTCTAGACTTTACAAAATTCTTTTGTCTTTTTAGTACGATTTTCTTCTTAACCCCTCGAGCGTCCTTATGAGCACCCGGTGGATCATAAGAAAAAATGATCCACGCTGCTTTCTCTTTAATAAAATCTATTATTGATGTTTTGTTTTTATTTTGACTGTATTTGTTTTATTTCTATTGTAATGATCCTTGTTTTCGTTTGCCAATGGCCAAATAAATGCATTTTCTTGCATGCATAAGGATAAGGAAATGCATAAGGAACGCGGACGCTCGACGGGTTAAACTAGTTTCACGTGCACTTCACACTCCACATCGAGGATTTGTGGACAATCAATGTGGCAATAAATTAATGTTTTGTTTAAAAGTAATGGCTTACTCACTACAATTAACTCGTCGAGTACCGGTTTTATAGACACAATTAAAGAACAATAGGTCGCGGTCACCGGTGACCGCTTGGTATTTGACAGTTTAATTGAGAGAACCTCTACTAGTTCCCAGTCATATCGGGACTCTTATTTGTGAACCTTAGATTGTGAACATGTTTTGTTTTCTCTTCTAGGACCTCCGCGCCGTCATAGACAAGGTGTGCAAGTTCTTAAACAAGGAGTACACAGAAGAGCAGAAACAACAGCTGGTCGATTATCTGGACTTCAAGAATATGAAGAAGACACCAATGACGGACAATAAGAAAGAAGGAGAAGGGGAAGTCACATTCTTTAGGAAAGGTGAGCTAACTACTCTGTAAACTTTTTTATATACATATTTGGACGCTAGGGTGTCCTCCTGTGCTCAGCAGCTACAGCTAGCCAAATGCCATTTAGCGCTTGTCTACTTGTAGAATAAAAGAAACTAAATTATACGGAATTGACGTAATTTTTTGACACTTGTCAGTGTCATCCCCATACATTTAGATTTCTATCTGTAGACAAGCGCTAAAGCGGCGCGGCGTTTGGCTAAAGGCACAGGGCTGTCTTAGACTACACTGGGGCCTTTGCCTAATAACAATAATTTGGGGCCTTTTTGAAGTATTTTTTTTAAACGTTGCCCCACACTAGGATTTTCTCCTATATCGTGGGTGCATTTACAAACATACAAGTTCACATACACATGACACTCAGACCCGAAACAACAATTATGGATCATACAAAGATTTGCTCCGTGCGGGTATCGAACGGTTTGGGTGTGTGTCCGTCGTAGAAATTCAGTCCGGGGGCACGGGCCCTATGGTAAAGACGGCCCTGCCTGTGCTTCATCATCAACAGTCCACATTCTACCAAAGACGTCCTTTAAAAGAATTTTTCACACAAACTTGACAAAATCAGGAAGCCCAGCCCACGTACGGTACTTGTCACAACAAAATTTTTCGTTTGTATGCTCGTTAGATGGCGTTGGTGAGATGTAAGGTCCTATATTTACAGGTACTAACCTAACTATTTACAGGTTGAACAAATAATATCTTAATATCAATAAAGTTTTTAATATTATCAAAGTCAAAGCATTTGTTTTAATGAAACCATAATTTGGTAAATTATTATGTTTTCGGCTTACTCACGTAATAATTTGGCGAGGAACTCGACTAGTTTTAAGCCATGCTAGAGGCTCACATTCATGAGCAGCATTTCGCGACCCGCGACGCGGCGACTGTCGCGCTGCTACTGGCTACTCAAGTCAGCGGGCCCAGCGCGCCCTCTGCCGTGATTTACGCGCACTTTTCTTTACTCGTGGTATCGGCGACTTTATTTAGTATGTCTCACGAAAGTTACAATACAAACATAATATGGTACTTTTGAAACGTCAACAAATACAAAATAAATAATAGTCTGTCAGTCTGTCCGTCAGTGAAGCAAGGTGCTCGTTCCAAAATGTAGATTTGAATAGAGAAGAACGAGCAAGAAACTCCATTGGACAATACCTAGCCTTTTTTCGTACTTAATTAAGTACCACCTCTTGTTGCGTTAAAACCTCTTTGGGATTATTTACTAGTGAAATAATCCTTGGAATTCCCAATAGTCCCAAGGTTATAAAGTCTAGTCATTTTGCTACGCATATAAATAAGATAGTACTTAGATATCGTATATCTATTAGTGTTACCTCCCTGACAGTCGGTGTCCTATCAGCATTTTGTCACGTATCATATCACAATATTGATATAACATATCATTAATCCATGGGACAATGACGTTAATAATAATGGAAAAACAACGAAATTGTGTTTTAAATATTATACTAAGTTACACAAAACTTTAGTTGCATATATACATTATAACATAACATGTAATGAAAAACATAACTTCACGCCTTTTATCCCCGAAGGGGTAGGCAGAGGTGTACATTACGGCACTTAGTGCCACTTTACAATGTAACACCCACTTTTCACTATTTATGTCATGAGTCCCATGTAATAGGGGGTGAGCCTATTGCCATATACCGGGCACAACTCCAGGCTCCGTGCTCTCGTCTCGGTTTCGATTCCCAGGTCGGAAAAATATTACTGGGTTTTGAAAAAAATCTCAGTAGTAGCACGGAGTCTGGAATTGTGCCCGGTATATGGCAATAGGATCACCCCCTATTACATGGGATTCATAACATAAATAGTGAAAAGTGAGTGGTTACATTATACAGTAGCATAATGTACACCTCTGCCTACTTCTTCGTGGATAAAAGGCGTGATGTTATGTTATGTGTAATTATAATTACTCGAAAATATCAATTGATCAATTCTCTTGTGAAATCCTAATTTGTTCAATGTTCGCAGGTAAATCCGGGAACTGGGTGCAATATTTCGACAGCGAAATGATGCGGGAAGCTGAAGAGTATATGGAGAAGAACTTGAAACTGACCGACATGCGATACCCTGTTGTTAAAAAATAATTAATTAAACCTTGATTAATTAGTTATGTAGTAGTTTTTTTATTCCTACGAGAACATTTCTCGTTTCCTTTACAAAAAGCATGGTTTTCGTGATCCCTATTAGTTAAACGTCAGGGAAAGTACACACAAGGTATTGCATACATAGTGTATGTATAAAAATACATTGTACCTAAATAAATAATAACATTCTCAGTATTTCTCAGTAGTAGCACGGATTGTGGAATTGTACTCGGTATATGGCAATAGGCTCACCCCCTATTACATGGGACTCATAACATAAATAGTGAAAAGTGGGTGTTACATTGTACAGTGGCATTAAGTGCGGTAATGTACACCTCTGACTATCCCTTTGGGGATAAAAAGCGTGATGTTATGTGATTTACTAAAATCGCCTACTCACTCAGTACACAGTAGGCTGCGCGACATCGCCGCGACCGCGCTCGCTGCTCATGAGGAAGAACCCCTCTGTGGTTCGAAACTAGTAGAGCTTTTCTCAGTATATTCACGTGAGTAACCCGCGATTTTTAGTTAATTTAGTAAGTCTCACGATTGTTATTATAATAAATAATAACATCGTTTATAGTTTCTCATATTATAGGTACACAATGCCTTCTTACATGCCTCTAAGTACACACAATTTACATGATAATATTTATTATATAAAATCGTCTGTAAACGACAGACGTTTGAAAAAAGCAAAATTCTGGGTATACCAATTTGTCTTTCCTTAGAACATAATTAGATTAATATCTATTCGGCTTGACCTTATTGCCATAGCCTCGAGGTTTATGATATCCTTGTTATTATTATAAAAAACCTTATTTACAATTCTGCAATAATATCTGAAATTACATACATGGATACCAATGCAGTAATCGTCAAGTCTATTTACCTACATAACAAATACATAATCTGATAGTTAAATTCCAAGTTCCAACGTATTTTGTCTGATTCTGATAATATCGAAATAATTACTATCGTGGATAATGCATGTTATCTTTCTGCTAAAATGTAACAGATAATATAATATACCGCCACTCCTCCAGGTATAAAGGCCGCATGCTGATATGATATAATACATGATACATTTCACTAAGTACTCGTTTTTTGTGATCGATCGTCTCAAAAACGACCGAACGTCCTCGGTTACCTTTTAACGTGTCTCGAACAATTTCGAGCGTTACTCCAAAACTATCGAGCGGCCTTGATCACTTCACTGAAAAAGTAGACAAACATTTGGTAAACCTAAATCACATCTAAACAATAGTAACGTACCGATTTCTAAATTTATGATAATGAAATAATTCCCGAGGTTTATTGTGTTTTTTAATTCATAATATTTAAAGTCATTAATGTTTTCTATTCAGCCTAGTGTTCGTGTCAAAACGCTCGCGTACGCGCGAGTGTAATGGCATCGTGGTGGCCTGGGGGTTCTCATGCATGTGTGCGTGGGTTCGACACATAAACAACTATCAACGACAAGTACCAATGTGACTTTTACCAAGTAATAAATATGTACTTTCTCAGATTATTTAAATACCACTGACAATCGATGAAGGAAAACATCGTGAGGAAACCTGGGTTTATAATTTCTAATAAAATTATAAGTTTGAAATCGCCACCCCGCTTTGACCAAGCATGGTGACTGGTGATTAACATTCATGCTCAAACTTCCGTGTGAGAAGTAGTCTTTGGTCAACAATGGCCACTTATAGGCTGTTAATGTGATGTGCGATTCCTTTACATAATCGCAATACTCCAGCAAAAATACACTGGCCCTATCTTATTTATTGAAATAAACACGAAAGAGTGGAGACGCATAACAGAATAATATAAACAAGGGAGCTATCGAGTGCATTGTTGTGCAAATTGCTACTCGTCCCACACGAGGCGCGCGAAAGCGTACCAGAGACAATTATTTGTTCAAATGGCGCGACCCGCGCGACTCCATGGCGGGAATAACGAATAACGATAGACTATAACTTTTGCTGCGACGTGTTTTGTTGCCTTTACTGCAATGCGTTTATTGAAAAATATTTTCTTTATTTAATTTGATATAGTTTTTTTTTTCTTCTTGAATGGCAACCGAGTAGTTTGCAAAGGTTGTTTGATATAGTTACTGAGTTTATAAATAAATGTGTTATTTTATTATTGTCACATAATGCTTATGACTTAAGGACGTTTGTTCAACAATTTGGATTATGAATTTATGATATCACAAGCGCCAAGGTATCATTATGTCTGAACGAATGTAGGTAACAAAATGTTTCGTCTAGACGGATTGATAATTATCATGTCCCTGTCTCGTAAATCAATCATAATTATTGTTTTTTATTTAGGTGTCCAAACCTTTTTTGTCACTGACACCAGGCTGAATACAAAACGCTTTGAATATTACGAAAAAAAAAAACAATTGAGCTCGGGAAATTCTCTTGTCTTACAAATTCTTCTCTTTACAAAATATTGTTATGTTCTGTTGTTTATGTCTTTATTAATGTTATTTGGATAAGTATAAAGTGTTAGTCTACTTTTTTACCTAACTTATCACCTAAAATCTAAATTATTTCATCAATATATTGTCTGCCAAAGCTACCCAAAGAAATCAGAGTACCGGATTAATGACTAACTCAAGGTAATTTAGAATATTGTAAGTAGGTACATACAACAATATTATAGTGTACAGATATTTTCTATAACAACTTTGTGTTTTTTCTAAAATGAAGGTCACCGCCAAACAAAGATAATCCACACATAGGATGACCCACTGACCAAGTTTTTTTTAAACATTCCATCCTTATTTTACATGCAAAATACCTGCTTTCAATGTCAAAATCATTTATTTCATATAGACCAGGAAGGCACTTTTGAACGTTTTAAACAAAAAGTGAGTGAAAAAATCATTGTGTGTGAAGCTATTTGCTCGTTCCAAGGTGTAGATTCAGCATATAAACAAGATAGTTCTTGGATATCGTATATCTATTAGTGTTACCTCCCTGACAGCCGGTATCCTATCTAGGTTCACAATACAATTCTTTACTTACTTCATCAACAGACTGCCTCGCTAGCCGAGTGGTCGCATGTGCGACTGCCGGGCATGGGGTCTCGGGTTTGATTCCCGGGTTTGGCAAAGTATTACTGGGTTTTTAAAAATTCTCAGTAGTAGCACGGAGTTTGGAATTGTGCCCGGTATATGGCAATAGGCTCACCCCCTATTACATGGGACTCATAACACAAATAGTGAAAAGTGGGTGTTACATTGTACAGTGGCATAATGTACACCTCTGCCTACCCCTTCGAGGATAAAAGGCGTAATGTTATGTTATGTTATCAACAGATTCAAAAAAAATCAAACGTCAAAGAATATTTTTAATCCATTTATTATTTTCATTGTAAACTCATACACTTGTTCTATCATCAACCGTTTATAATTTACGTTATACACGTCATACATCACGAGATGAGACTTAAATACTAACACACTCCAAAAATTGTGAGAGCCGGCGGCCATTTTTGAATTAACGGTGACATTTTTGGCCCCAAAAGAAGACACGCGCAATCAACTGCTATGTTGAAGATGAGGTTAACGATATCATAGAAATTAACTAGAACACTGTGCTTTTTTCTTCACAATATGTTAGTAATGTTTCAAACGTAGTAATATAAATAAAACTTTGAACAGGCACAATATTAAATATTTAACTATAAGGTACTTATAAAATTCCGTCTCTCACAATCTACGGAGCATCAAATGCATTTACTTTACGTTTAACATACTCGGGCGCACCATAATTGACTTGAAAAAGCAAAACAATCAATAAAGCGAGATTTTTCAAAATATTTAAAAACAAAAACATGTAAATTCTATCTTCAAAAATACCAATATTTATTATTCCCTTTCGGAAATGCTGCAAAATAATCACTTGTATTTGTAGTAACAACATAAATTATGGCACTTTGTTTTATAAAGGGAACATCGAACAGATTTTATACAAAATACACACAGAACAATTTATCAATAAAAATTCAATTTTACATTCCTTTTGAATAGTTATTTAGCAATGACTTAGCGAACCTACTGCGAAAATGCAGAACCAAACTTCCTAATCTTATCTTAATTGATGCTCATTGACATTCTTATATAAATAAAAGGCTAATATTAGAAATTTCGCGTTCCTTACTTTCGCATTAATCTTCCTATTTAGGTAAATATAATTACCAATCTACGGTAACTTTATTTTATTGTAGGCAAATTAAATTCAAACAAGCTTTCCAGCTTCAAACAACTGAAGCAACTTCTATTCCCGGATTTGTTAACAAAACGCCATGTTGGTTAATTTCCCGCGCGAATCATTCAACGTTCGGATACATTGCCCGGTAAGAAATCACCTCGTAAGAACCGTAACATTTATATTACAACTGTCTAAGTGTTATTATTTACGATTATAAATAGTGTGCAGTAATTACATTGAAAAATTGTGTATTCTTACAATGTAGTAGATATTATATTTTTGTTATTGCATATTTTATTCACTTCGTTTCAAATATACACACTATAGCGAGTCACGTCACATTACGACACCACATATTTACGTCGTAAAAAAGAGATATAAAAATTTCGTAGTCTCAAAAGTGACTGTATAGCATTTTATTCGTTTACACCATTCAGACGAGGAAATAATCACAATTATTAACAGCCGTCCTCTTCGGTCCGATCCCAGACTACGTTGAGGATTCTGAAAGCTATTGATCTATTATTTCATTGGCCTTAAATAACTTAATTATATAATCTTGAGGCTACTGGGACCGAACGAAGATAACTATGATATTGACGATGAGTAACATTCTGCTGTACAAACATGAACCTTAATTATCACTAACTAGACCTTACTATAACTTAAGTTAAATTATGCTTTATCTTTGGCGAATACACTGCTTATGGTACCGTGAAATTTGAGAAACTTAAAGATACATTTGATCATAAAAACCGTACGAACGTCGTTGTAAAGTCTCACAAAATTCCCTATTTTAATACTGAGATACAAAACTGTTCGCTTTATAGAATAAAATGGTACCATTCTTACTTAGTCTACATAATTTAATAGATACAGCTAATAAGTTTTCCTCGGAAATATTTTCTTGAAAATGATCTGTTACATTACAAAGTGTTGCATAGCCTATTGTAGGATTAGACAAAACTGCCGGTTTTTATTCATAAGCAGATTATTTTCAAGAAGAAATTCCATGAATAAACAATTTATAGTTACAGTTTCTGGTGTCATAGCAGGGCAGTACCTTCGTTTTAATTTATAACTAAACATTTTATAGACAAACTGTCAGGTTAATTCTTCTTCCACAATGGCAGTTATGATTTGCACCTTATTTACAAATAGTTAATACATTTTTTTGTTTATCGCATCTACCAATTCCACTTCTTACTAGGTCACACACGATGGAATGCTTATTGTTTATTATTTTATTTACAATTAGTTTATTAGTGTATTAGCTGTAAATAAAATAAGTTTTTATTCAAATTTAAAATTAAATAATAGTCCTAACTTATATTTACATTAGGTCCACGCAATTTAAATCAGTTTAATTTTGAGCCATAAATATGAAAGCTAAATCATTTTTATAACTATTACCCGGCAGAGATTCCAGATTCATTCAAATAATAATAATTTTTAGTTGAGAAAAGTTATAATTTATATACTGTGGAAAACCACAAAAGGGCAAACTTAAATTATGTGCTACTGGTAATATTATGTACACGCTTAAGTTATTTAGAGATATACAATGCAATAAAATGTCTACTGTCGGGCTCCGAGCCGCCTACGTTTAATAAAATGTAATAGAAACACGCCAAAATAATATTTAGTTGCTTCCAATAATTTGGCAATTTTGTCCTAAAGATAGCGCTAAAAGCTTCAGTAAACTTTAACTCTAACAGTTTCAAAGTTAGACCATAGCCGGTTATTTCCTTAAAACTATATTGAGCGAAAACCCGAGTCCAAAAACATACGTAGTCTCTGATGACACAGCAGTCGTCACTATACACTTTAACTTGAAAGTTATCAACAAAATTGATATAAAATATTGGTCGTTAACATATTTTGCTAACACAGCCTTCATAGACTTTATGATACAAACTGATAAATTAATATTTAATAAGCCGCCGCTGTTCACGTTCTCTTTAACGATGAAAACGTCTTATGCCGATCCAAATTATAGACTTCCGCAATACAAGAAATTTAAAAAAATAGGCCTTACATAAGATGATGACTTTAGAGAGTAGTTACAGTTGTAACGTTACCTAAATATTTGTGCTAAAATGATTTACTACAAAAATTCGAGACAGCAATCAATAAAAACTTTCGTCAAAATATTTTAACATAAATATTAGACCAGTATTCACAATAAATTACAAGGTTTGAGCAATCACGCACTGGTAGAATTTATTCGTTCATACGAAACATCTGCTGGCAGAATGTTTTGTGAAGCGATTCTTTCAACGAATCACTTCTTTCGTAAAAGCAACTGAAACGATCGACGATCGATCTGTAACGTCCTTATTTTTAAACATTTGTGAGAACTTATGTCACTTGTCCATAAACTTATTCAGGATTTAATAATCACTCTGTTTCCGTTATGATCTTCATAGCGAAACGACGAGTGTCGATATAGTCACTAAGTTCGTAAGTCAGGGAACACTGAGGGTTACACAATAATGTCTTTGTAAGCCGTCAGGGGTGCACTGGGGGGGTAGTGGCGCGGCACCTGCGTCATAGGAACACGTCCAGAGGAGTTAAGGAGGCGCGTGGTCGTCCCTAGAGTTCAGTGACAGCGTACAGGTCGCGGGTGTCCTGGTGGGGCGGGTGGATGCGGTCGGCACGCTCCGACCGCTCGGGGCGCTCGGCGCGCTCGGGTCGTTCGGGGCGCTCTGGGCGCTCGGGTCGGTCCGGGCGCTCGGTGCGGTCGGGTCGCTCGGGGCGGTCCTGGCGGCGGCGGTGCGCAGTGTGCGTGGAGTGCTGCGCGGGCAGGTTGGCGCGGCGCGGGCGCTGCAGCGAGCGGTACTCCAGCGCGGCCGCCGACAGCGGCTGCGGCTCGTGCTGCTTGCGGGCGGGCCGCACCGTGGCGTACTTGTCGGCGGCGGGGGGCCCGTGCGGGGCCGAGAACGTGCCCAGCGACACGGCGGCGGCGGCGGGACGCGGCCGCGGCGCGCGCGGCCCGAACGACGCGTACTTGGGATCGAAGCGGTTCAGACTTGTCGAGCGCCCCGATTGACCTGAAAATTGAGTGTTATATGCATTAGATCTCTTTAATTAATTATGTAGGTAATGCTCTTTTCCCTGCACTTGGAATTAACTAGCAGATTAGACATACTTACAAGTTATGAGTATTGTGAAAATGTATTTTTAAATGATGTTGACTTTAATTTGTAAAATGAATACAATGACTAGTGCAAGTACCTGCGTTATGTTCGGGAGGGTGCGCGCCGCCGGGCCGGTCTCAGTAGAAGTCACTGCTCTCGAGCGTCTTGCACTGCTTGCTGAGCGTGGCGTACTTGCCGTTGTGGGGCGCGCGGCCCAGCGTGTGGGCGCCGCCCAGGGCCGCGGCGGCGCCCGGCCCGCCCGCGCCGCGGCCCAGGGTGGCGCTGCCCGACATGCGCGACCTGCGGACAGCTCCCACTCAACAACTATGTCCACACTCCGCCACACACTAACAACGTGCTCGCGTGCAAACCGGGTACAACCAATGGTTACACACCTCCACCATTTAAACTAATTTTGACATGTAAGTTGTATTATCACATAGGATTCGGATTTACAACAAATAAAGACATTCTTCAATACATTAGGATTCAATTAAAAACAATCATCGTTAAAACTTGGTAGTGGTACATACATACATTCAAACTCGTCATTAAATTGTCAGGAAAGTTAGGATGACAAAACGTGCTTATTTTAGGAAACTTAAGTTCTCAATGTAAGTTTCAAATCTTTAGCAAGAGCATAATTAACAAAGCGTTCCCAAAATATGCACCCGATGCAAGATCCAAACATTGTGTCCACGATGGGGTCACAAGTACGTCACAATAGTTTACCTTGGTTTGTCGAAGTCCATGAGTTGCACATCAGCGCCGTAGGAAGGTGGCTTGCCCGGGCTAGACAGAACGTTAAAGATAGTTACCGTGGCAAAGGGGTTCGTGCCTAAATAGTACCGCGTCGATCGACAGATCCACGTAGTTAAGACATTGCCAACAATTGGGTTAGTAACAGAATTTAAGAGACCCCCACAACACTCAGAGCATGTTACAGTGATCACGGCATTCAGATACGTCAGAAGAGTATCTGACAAGCGTTAAGCGTTCTAGTGTTATGAGAAATGGTAATTGTTTTCACAATTTGTGTCGGTTCGAGATGATATATTGATGGTAAGTTAGTGTGTGTAGGTATGAGACGCGAGGGTCACCTGGGTCGTTCGAGGTCCATGAGCTGCACGGCGGCGCCGTAGGAGGGCGGCTTGCCGTTGTTGTAGGCGGCGGGGCGCGGCAGGGTGCGGCTGGCCTGGCTGCTGGCGCCGCTCGACAGGAACGGCGCCTGCTCCTCGCCGCCGCCGCCGCGCCTGCGCACCGAGCGTCACTCAACTCAACATACCATTCTACCCGCCACCCATACCTATTCTCATACTTGTACATATTTACAAAAACTATGTACTAACTTTCTATTTTTTTTGTAATTCACAGTATATATACTTGCAAAAAGATTGCTTTTACAAAAATAGTTTTTAGGGCAAATTCGATTTCGACAGAAGACATCAGCAACAGTCACAGTAATTACATACGAGTAGTATAAAAAACTCTATTATCAATTAATAAATTCTACTTTGAATAAAGAATTAAAATTGCCTTAACAAAGTAAACATTTACCCTTTCGAAACTCGATCAAGAAAACTACAAAAGTATATAAAAATACCTACAAAAGTACACAAGTGTCAATTCAATACATCGTCGCCTAATGTTCCCTCTTGGTAAAATATTAGTATAGCAAGGCTTACAATAAGTTAGACACCACACAGTATTGATTAGAGTTTTGTGATGAATCAGCGTTACGTGGGGTGTTATCAACATTGTGAAGTTGTACTCACTTCGTGTTGATGTATATCCATGCGTGGGAGTCCACTAGCACTATGGCGGTGAATAGGAAGCCTGCTGCAACTGCCGCTAGCAACTGGAGTGATAATGCCTGGAATTAAGTTGGTAGCAATGTTAATATCCTAGGAAGTACAAATGCCAGTGGCAACGTACAACGTATCGACATTAAAATTGTCGACTTGTATCTTTACAAAATCATAAAGTTCTAAACCTTTTTAAAATCAATAAAATTCAAATTAAGGTCAATTCAAATTCAGAATAAACCCATCATGATCAGAATTTTGTTTATGCTGCAGCTGTAGCCAAATGCCATTTAGCGCTTGTCTACATGTAGAATAGAAAACCAAATTATATGGAATAGACGTAAATTTTGACACTTGTCAGTGTCATCCCCATACATTTAGTTTTCTACTCTCTCTGTAGACAAGCGCTAAAGTGGCGTTTGGCTAAAGGCACTGGTAATAGGCCAAAAGTAATAACGTATCAAATCTGTGGATAATGATCGATTTTTGTACCCAAATATTTTATGTTCAAAGGTTCAATAATTGTCCATCATACCTGCAGCCCCGCGTCGCAGGCGGCCCGCGCGGCGGCCACGAAGTACGCGCGCGCCATGCGACACTCCAGCGCGCCGCTGAGCGCCACCAGCGCACGCTCCGCCTCACCAGTGCCCGCGCCCAGCGCGCCCAGGGCTGGCTGCAGACCTGTTGGAATAATATACACTTTAAACAACCGCTTATTTATAGAAATAAGCTTCAAAAGACATTACTTTCAGAGTACCAATTCCCAATATACACCCCAAAGACATACAAAATCTTACAGAGTGAAATGTACTTAATCATACTTTTAATAACAATAGAACAAGCAATCCTTGGTTTTAAAATACAATAGGGCAACCATAGCGCTATAGCACTCAAATTAACAACAATTGGGTATTTTCATGGGTCAAAAATAAATCATTTAGATTTTTCAAACCAATTAAATATTCAAAAATACTTACAACTTCATTTATATATATATAGACGATATACTTTTTTTTTTTTAATTTATTTAGGGTTTTTGGTTAAAATTAACATATCAAACCCATTGTTCCTTATAACTATTAATTAACACATAGTACTTATCCTAGTTGTTTATAAATAATTACGAGGGTCGGTGCTGGGTCTGCGGTACTAGCAAGTAAAACGCTTGTGCTATTTCTGATGCAGGCTCACTTAAAACACTCTGAATGATACCTACGTTCATCTTTGCAATGCCATACTTTCTCAGCAACGACTCCCGTTCCACCTTATTCCGGACACATTCCATCAGCAAATGTTGCACATCCTCAATCTTTCCACAAGTCGGACAATTCGGTGTGTCAGCTTTTCTCATTAGATGTGCAAACTTTGCCGATGGATAGTGTCCAGAACGAAGTCTAAAAGCTAATTTCAACATGGATCTATTTAGTGTAGTGATTACGAACCAAGGCACTCGAGGAGGTTCACTTTGTAAGCTTTTATACCATATTCCTTTTTCTTTGCTACGTATATCAAAGTATTCTTTCCAGCGATTGTGAGCTATATATTTAATCTTCGGCAACAACTCTGAATTATACGGAATTACAGATTTTGGTATACCTTCAGTCGTTGCTAGTTTTGCAAGCCGGTCAGCCTCTTCGTTGCCTGCCAAACCTATATGAGACGGTACCCATTGCAATCTCAGAACTCTCCCATCTTGATTAAAAATGTGTAGGCATTCTAGAATTTTGTAGGCTACCGAAACACCTCTGAAGCCAGAGGCGCATCGAGCCAAATGTTGGAGGGCGCTCTTGCTGTCAGTTAAGATGACCACCTTATCTAAATTTAAATTTAAGCAATAAAGAATGGCTTCTGAGATTGCAACTAGCTCCGCCGACATAATAGAGATGTTGTTGTCTATTTTATAACACATAGATTCTTTAAGAAGCGAATCATAGAATGCAGCGCCTAAAATTACAGAATTCTTTGAGCCATCTGTAAAAATTTTATGGTACCCTTGGTATTTTTCTTGTAATTCACTAATAACATTAAGTTTAATTATACTAAAATTACACCGCTTTTTATACGACGATATACTTAATTTTTTATTTGTTCTAGCAATTTTGACAGAAATAAGTGTGCTATTTGACTCGAAAATATGATGACGTCATAAGTTAGTTTTTGGTACAAAATTCATAGAATAACATCGTTTTTGACGTTTCGATAAAAGTATTGAATTTGATTAGTTGTAAAATGCCGTATTTCCACGCTTTTCTACTAGGACAGTTAGGAGCAAGATTGATTTCTGCTTAGCTTAACTACACCTAATTCATCTAGCCATACCTTCCTACCCTAGATATTCTTCATAATGAATGGATTTCTATGTTATAATCTTACCAGGATCGTTGAACAGTTGCGGCGCCCCCCTGGCCAGTACAGCTAGAGCTTGTCGCACGGCTACGACGGCTCGCTGCGCGTTCCTTAGTTCAGCGGTCAGCACGTTCTCTCGGGACACCTTGCACGATAGGTAGTAGTGCACCATCTGGAATGGTAACAGTAGATAGGTTAATGATTTGATGAAAATTATCATTACATGTTTATACTAATCCCTCTTAATTACGACTGATACTATATAGTTTCAAACAAAATAATGTATCATTTGCATACATATAATAGGTACCCTTTATCTAAATTGATTTTCAAGTTTATCGCAAAACTTTAAGAGTTCGAGTTTCGTCTAAAGGAAATCAAGAGACTGCAGCCATATAAATTAACAAAAATTTCTCCTAAAAAATAGTAGATAATCAATACACACGTCTTGTGGCAGGTTATGCGGGGCATGATGCGCGAGTGCCGCGGCGGGCTCCTGGCAGGCGTCGGCCGCCGCCACCGCCGCCGCCGCCAGCACCGCGCCCGCCAGCCAGCATACCACCAGCGCGCCCAGGGCACCCACCTACGGGAAAGAGATATGTAATAAGCATTAATTTGCTTCCCTGAATCACAACAATCCTCTAATTCCTAAGCCCCAAAAGGCTGGTACTTGTAACGCCTTTGGTATTCCAGGTGTGCCGATTGCTTACCATCTGATGATCCGTCTTCTCGTTTACCGGTTTATCTCTCGTTACGTTTGAGAAGAAATCATTTATTTGCACGGAATGTGGGTACTGACGACAATTATTGTACAAAAATAACTGTTACTGCTATTTTGTATGCGTTCTAACAATAGATAAGTATACTTAGTAGGTAGACAAATACAAGACGCATGTAATGCCCCAAATGTTGCAGGCGTACATAGGCCACGGTAACCGCTTACCATCAGGTGGGCTGTGTGCTTTTTTGCCACCGTCGTGGTATAAAAAAAATACTTACGCAAAGCAGTAGTAGCGCCCGTCGCGAGCGGCGCGCGGCGGCGGCCAGCAGCGCGACGCAGACGGCGCCGCCGCAGCACCAGCCCGCCATGCCGCCCGCCCACCGCGCCGCCTCCCACACCCACGCGCGCTGCAACACACGTCACACGTTTAGGGTAATCTGTACTGCTTTGTGACAGAGTAAAAACATCTGTAAAGCCGGCCAAGAGACTACCCATTTTGACAAAATCTCTTAAATTGCGATCTGCGAACCGCCTTCCAAGCGTGAAGATGCAGAAATGCGACTAAACGCAATAGCAAACCCTTTTATGTAGAAGCTCAAATAACACTTAAGGGTTTGGGTTAAGGGTTGTATACCAAATTCAAAACACCACATGTTTTTACGTAGGGACTTTAAAATAAATAACTACAAACCTTCATGAAGGCATCTAGGTTCAGGGCAGCAAGAGGTCGCCTGAGGTTGTCGGCGGCTGATGCAGCAGCGCTGGCATTGTTCCTGAGTGCTGAGAGGGCTCGGAGTAATGTGCCTAGAGCCGTCTGGTTGGCCACGGGCGCGTCCAGGGCGTCAGCTAGTCGGGCTAGGGGAGCACGCGCTCTGGAGCCCATTGCTTCTTCTAGGATGCTTGACTGGAATCAAATAGGAGACTTATTAAAAATTGATTCGATTGATTTGAACTTTCTAGTTTAAGATTCCTGTAGCTATCCTTGCCAAGTTTAGCAGAAATGTATTAACGACTTTATAATTTTATATAGCAAGAATATTTGTACAAACTTCAATCTCATCATAGCACATTAATACTTCAAAAACATTCCTACATTTGCGCTATAGACGTTACACAGGAGGTTCAGAGCTGGTCTATTTAGAAGACGTGGTACCACTAACCTATACCTGTACTGATAACGACCACCGTATTTTTAGAATCCAACACTTAATTACAACATAAAACGTCTCCATTCTTCAAGAAAATGTGACTAATTTTTTTAGACTTGTCTTTCTATTCATACTGACCTGGTTCTTAACCGTATTGACGAGTGCAGCAAGCTGGTTTCCAGCCTGAATGCTCTGCAGCATCGCGTTGTGTAGATCGTCATTGCCGAACAGACCCACGCCGATGGCCCCACAGCAGAGGACTGATAGGATCATGAGCGTTATCTGTGGAAGCAGAAATAATTAAAAGATTAATTAGTTAGAAGTCATTAAGCTTTCATATAAATATTCTAAATTACAGCGATGCAAGTGCTTATTGCATATACTGCATAATGAAAACGGGTTCTTTAATTTTTTTAAACAAAATGTTATATTTAATATGTTTTGTCTATAAGACTATTGAATAGCCAAAACATTCAGTCTTATAGATTAAATATGTGGCAATTCCAAAGTTATTCATGTTTACTATTCAACGTGTCATAAATTGGCTTCAAAAATTCTGCAGCTGTTTACACATGTTACATTCAAACTAGCATAAAATTCAGACATAAACAATATAGAAGAATCAACTTGATACTCTATAGACAATAAGGACTACATACAAAATGACAAAAGTTTTAAAACTTTCAGGTTGTGTTACTCAATATTCATCATGATCAATAAATTATTATGCTTTCGGCTTCTCACGTAATTATTTGACGAGGAACTCGACTAGTTTCAAGCCATGCTAGAGGCTCATATTCATGAGCAGCATTTCGCGACCCGCGACGCGGCGACTGTCGCGCTGCTATTAAAAACTAGTCGAGTTCCTCGTCAAATAATTACGTGAGTAAACCGAAAACGTAAGAATTTATTGAGTATGTCTCACGAAAGTTATAATACAAACATCATGATCAATACAAAAAAGTCGCTTATAAAAACCAAATGCCACTTTTTTACTTTCTCTATCAACACTATTTTACTGACACAAACACCACCAATACCACTGTTCTTTTAAGTACCGATGCTAATCCCCTTTGATGTCTAATAAACATAACAATCCCATAGCACTATCATACTTCTAAAAACTTAATCCTAAAAACATCTTCAAAAAAGCTGTTTACGCAACATCAAACTTGAGATCAAAGCTATAGAGTTCATTGTCCTACATTTAACTGATTTTTGTTAATATGAAGAGCATAAACTTAGTAATCGTTTGAACACTTGCTTACAAACACGTGTCGGAATGATCTCTGTGAGAATAATTCTGATTGTGATGCCAGACTATTTATAGGATGAAGATACCCTCGGGGGCGAACATGATGGCTTTATCATACAACGGCGGGAAACAAGACTATGTTGCGTTTTGTCTGTTTATATCGAGACAGTCTGGATGGCTGTGACTTGATAATTATGTAAGATGATTCATTAAATTGGTACTAGGAACTTGTTTAATTGTGTCAAGCATATGTATAAGTAAATGAAAGAAGATGATTTATTATGCCGAACCATTTATACACATCTTGTATGTAGGTATTATAGACTTTCTGCCAGCTGCATCTGCAAAATTATCCCACGAGTATGGAAAGAAAAGGTACCAAGCTATACACATTTATGTCAAACATCTAAATTCCTTTAGCTATAACATAAATGTGAATCGAATTGAATAATGATGATGATGATGATAATGTTCATTCCACCTTTTCATTCAAAGCACTCGAGAAACAATATAATTTATAAAAATGGCTGGACCGATTTGGCTGATTTTTTTGGCTGATGTTGTTTGTTATTGTCTGGAGAAGGTTCTTATGATGGAAAAAAATCCTGAAAATCTTATGGGAACGGGAGAAAACGGGATTGCGCGTACGAAATCGCGGGCAGACGCTAGTTATTAATAAATATCCACTAATAATGAAGTACCACGGTACCATGATGAAGGAGGTAGCTTAGAAAGTACGATGTTTAAGTAACAACCTTCTATTTTTAACACAAAAAATAATCTAATCTGGATAGCTAATAGAAAACTTTTCTACACGTGCGTGCCCTACATGTCTCGTCGAGGGCACACACCTCATTTACAAAACATGAAGAATTGCTGTAATTAACCGCTAGCCTATTCTGAAGGTCGTGTCTAACAGTGTTTCAGGTTCCAGGCAGCACAATGAATAATAAATATAATGGTGGTAAGGTTGTGTCAGGCACTCCATTTTAACGCCACTAAAGTATAACTAAATCGACTATAAGACTGAAACCACAATCAATCTATCCTAAACAAATTTACCTTTTGTTTTATAATAAAATCAGAAATGTAGCAATTAAAGACTGAGATAACTTTACGATGTGCTAACGTTTGTATCTAAATAATAAATCTGAATAAACGACTAAACAAATGCCAAACGCTCCATAACGGTTCCATTTCTATAAATCATTCATATGTGAATTACGTCACGCTTCATCATATGATTTTCGGAATCTAAAATCCATCCCATATATTTTGATTACTAATCGATACACCTATCCGAAAGATCGAACAATATAAAAATTACTTCTGGAATAGGAAAAAATTAAAGTATTAATTAAAAATTAAATAAAAATAAAAACAGTGAGCTGCGCGACGTCGCCGCGACAGCGCACGCTGCTCATGAGGAAGAACCCCTCTGCGGTTCGAAACTAGTAGAGCTTTTCTCAGTATATTCACATAAGTAACCCGCGGTTTTAGTTAATTATTTCATTTAATTAAAGACAAATAAAGAATCAAAGCCTCTACTCAATGAATTGTTTACTCGGAAAGTTAAGGAATACCTCACACAGGCCGGTTTGCAGTAGTAAAGCTAATTGAAATCAATTATCGTAAGTCTGCTAAGCACAACACTAATTAGGTAATTACGGAACGCCGGCAATACACGAATACCGAAAGAGTCGAGATTAGAATCGAATTGACCTATTGCCATTCAATTGCCTATCATCTTACATTGCTTTTAAGTAAGAATTTTATTGTCATTGAATGCAAAGTGAATACAATATTATCGAAACATCTATTTGAAGAAAAATTGTGTAAACAAATCTTTGCATTGGTCGGCTTAGTAGCCAACCATGGTTATTGTCTCTGTACTAAGTCCCGATTAATCCCCAAGCGGTCACCAGTGACGGTTTCTACTTACTCCGTTATAGACCTTATTTCCGATGTTTAGAGACTACTTTTATATGAACACATTTTGTGGATTTTTCGTAAGATATATTTACGATTCATCTTTGTTCTCGTACCTGCATACTAAATACTTTTGCAGGATTTTGATATAGGTACTCAACAACTTCACTGTTTGTCTTACCTTTAAAGCGGTGATACTTCTGGGTGGACGCTGCTTTCTGTCGCAGCATCTTGTGAGCAGGTATATGAGGAGCACAGTCAACGTCAGGATCAGCCAGGCGCCAGGTATGGAGCCGAGGATTCCCAAGCTCTGGAATACACAAAGGTCACAAAATATAGCAACATATTGGAGTGAAAATAACCTTTTTATGAAAATAAAAATAATGACCAGTTTAATTCTCGAACAAATATGAAAAATATCAAACCAAAAATATCAACCAAAAATATCAACCATCGAACTTTTTGCTACGATGCATCGTAGCAAAAATTTTTAAAAGCACAATTTAGAAGCTACATTACAGAAATCCTTCCAATCTGACATGTGAAGCCTCACACACTAAACACGCAAGTACAGTATAGTCAACTTCAGTAATGAACTTGTATAACCCCAGGGTACACAACATGCTTAATTAACTGTCATGTTTTGTGGACAAACATTTCGCACGAAACAAGTATAGAGATGATTTGTGAAGCTGAATGGATGCTGCTCTTTAATCTAGATAGGGATCTGTGGCCGTAGACCGTTGGACGAGACTATTGTGGTCAGTCCGGACTGTTATTATACGCACGTGATGTTCCCCCTTCACGGATTGTTAAGTGGTGATATGGAATGGGAGCTTCCGTGTCATCGGCGTTTTGAGAATTTTATAATCTTGTGAACTTTTTCTTATAGGCTTTGAAATTATTTTCAAAACTAAAAATATTTCAAAGAGGTTTTGAGGATTTTAAGGGTAACTTAAACCTGTACTTTTTACACTTTAAAGGGTATTTTCTATATTCAGAAGTGATCAACCAAGTCTTTGCCCATTGCCCCTGTTTGTGCGAAATTACCCTTTACTCGCAAAATTTTTCTCACAAGTTTCTTAAGTTTTAATTATAAAGACTGTACATATTTTTGAACTTACCTCAAGGTATACAGGAGAATTAGGTGCGAAGGTGTCATTGACGCGATGTAGGGTGACGTTGATATGCGGCAAGGCGTGCAGCAGCCGCGAGAGACGCGGCGGCGAGTACTCGTCCGTCACGCCCGGCACGCCCATCGCGACCTTTCACGATCACACCTGGAGACCAAATGGAAAATACGTTAGATTCAAAATAGATCATAGAAAGAGAAGTACACGATAATTTTGTAAAAATAAATAAATTGCTTGGACTCTCATCATTTGATTACTGAGCTCAAATCTTTGAATCAATCAGAAAATTGGTACCATACTGGTCTATTTCTTGTCTTCTTGACCAATCACCTATTGATATTTCAGCATTTGATATACTCGATTAAGAAAATCGATCATTGCATTTTTGGTCGTATCCATTATTTTATAACATGAACTAACTAATGAACGTTTAATATAAACAACAAACTACGCCGTTCAATGAACTAAAATTAAACAGACTATTCGCAAATGTGGACCATCTGCTATGAAAGATCACACGCTGACAACAGGCAAACAATCTAAAAACTCAATATGATTCATTGAAATAATAACTTTAACGGAAATATAGGCAACTGCAATTAGGGTACTGGGCTTTTTAGCTTTGTCACGAGGTAACTGTGTCATTGGTTGGTAGAACCTACATAGTGTGTGAAGCACGGGGTTCCATATTTGACTTTTTAATCAGGCCACATGTTTAGATTTTTATTTCAGACGCAAAAAATCACGTGGTTTGAATTCTTGGAAACAGGCTTACTTGCTAATACAATGGCATTACATATATCATACATAACCAACAAATAGGTGTCAATTTGAGTAATAAGGGTACACATTTGTATTCTCTTAATGGAAACGCAATCGTTGTAAAGACACGCAACTACAAATTAGGCTACTAGGCTTTTTATCTTCAGCAGTAGGTCAAACGTGCATTATCTTCCTCTGAAGCACATTGCGGCCACTTACACCTTGATAAGCAGAAGTGATATAATTTTTGAAGTGCGATTATCTTGAAGACACAATTATACTTTTAAGTGAGGCTTACGGTCGGTCAAGTGAGGGAGGAACTTTAATTTGTAGTTTGATTTTAGACAATTTGACCAGAGAATGCATTTACCTATGTTTCTAAAGGGAATGAATGAATTGTGTGAGTATTTACATTAAAGAAAAATGGAATAGAATGCATGATACTGAATGAAAGAACAATAAACGAAATGTGCGATCACCATAAAACTAAAGGAAGGAATGCCAGATTGTCATTAAAAGATGCAGATGTAATACTTGCATGTTTAATGAGATAACTGTGTAAATAAACATCAAAGGTAAAAAACTTGAAGATTAAATATATCGCATGTGTTTAAAATGCCAGCAATGCTGTTTAAGTAGAGTACCTACTTACTTATCGCTGTTTTCTGTCGACTAAAGTAAAGGGTACTTAATCTTTTTGAAAGAGAATTCTTGTTAATCTTTAGCGCGTCGGAGACGTCACGTTCTTGAGACTTCAGGACTTAAATTGCACTTAATGGAACAACATGCAACAACTAGTGTTGGAGCAGTTACCAACTAGGTACTTGAAAATGGAAAGGATTTTGGTTTGTAAATAATAATAATAATAACGTTTGTATAATAACGGTATGTTTGGACCCGAGGTACCAAGCTTGCTATTTAAACAGTCTGATAGCACATTCCGAACAACGTAACTTACGTTATAAAAGCCACTACTATGAAGAAATAACTCAAGCATTTTTGCAAACTCAGGTCAAAGAACTACATTAACATTCAAAACGAAACTAGAAGGCAGACTATCTTATAAAGCAAACAATATCAGAGACATATTGTACCCACTCATATTACGAAACGGAATGCCTTCACGAGACAGAATTTTCCAGACAAACTTTTGATATGTGCACAAACTTTTCTGACACGAACTGTACGAGCGACATTACAAAGGATTATAATCCCTTTTGTTTTATGTTATGAGTTATTTTCGCCTGGACGGGTAGAAGACTGAAATTGATGTCGTCTTGTCTTCCCTACGTCTCCCGCGTAGGACGGATATAAGTGTACATACTATACATAGCTAGGTTCGTAGGTGCTTGTACTTACCGCAACTATCTATCAGGATCTTTGTCTACGACGCCATGGTGGCTCCGACCGATGGTACTTCACTTTCACCGCAAGAACATCTGCAACAAACGATGGGATAGAATTAATTTATGGGATACTGCGAAATATAGTAGAAAAGGGCTTTATTTCTAGAGACAAAAAATAAAATGTATTTCTGTATAACAATGAACTAACAAATGGTTCATCACATAAGATTATGTTATGGTAGTGGAACATGAAACAGTGTAAAGACAGCTTGCTGTAGACTGTAGACAAAACATTACACTTTGTGCCATCAATCAGATCAGACACTGTTTACCGAAGAAAACGAACCGACGCCATTAATTTCCTCAATGTAGATGGTAACAATAAGCTTCCAGATAACCTCAAAGCTTCACCGTGACATTGGAAAACAATCAGAATGAAATACGTAACAGGCGTACGTACGTTACATCACAACATATTGGTGTGCGCGGTCCAAACAGACGACCACACGCAGTGTGTGGCCGCTGGTTACCATTAAATGCGCCAACTACGGCCCGTTGTTCCTACTATGTGGTGTTATCGCTACCATTAAAATTATCTCGCATTGCATTCGCTCACATTTCTCAGATAACTAGACACTGTAGAAACTAGGAATAAACGAGTGATCTAGGATAGTGTTGCGGTACCAGGAGGACAGGATTTTTGTGATGGAGATAAATCAGCAACACTGTTGTTTAAACTCAGTCATGACAATTTTGTGGTCACGATTATCCTCATTTTTGTAGTGGACGACAACGTTTTGAAATACGAGTTCATATAGTCTAACAAAAGCTTAAGAATCATTATTTCAGAGGCACAACATATAAAACAAACTGCATAATATTACCCAGACATAGACGAACCCCAATCTCGGAGTATACACAAATTTTTTTCTTCCCCGTCAATGAAACAGACGAGACGTCAGTGGAAGCATTAAAATCATAATAAAGGGGACATTACGAACCACGCTGAGCGGTGTCACGCAACAAATTACGGACAATTGAGAGCACCTGCAGCATTGCGCGGCACCATTGAACTGTTTGCTCAAGCTGCTTTTAATTATAATCTAATGTGCTATGGGAAGATGGGAGATTGCTGTACGAAGCTTTCTTTACTTTCTATTACAAAAAGCCCTGTATCAAATAAAGAGTCATAGCAATTAGTACGTGAATTTGAAATCACTTCTAATCAAGTTGCTTTAAGATCTGTGTGTAATTTCAGTGTGAATCAACAAATATGAGCTTATACCGCGCCCAGCATTATTATTTCGTATTTTACATTCCGATTCAGTGACGGCCAATGTGCAACTATGCACCATAGTGTTAGGGATCGGCCATTACCATACATGGCCGGTCTCTTACTACTGGGAAACACGACTTCAGAATAAGCAATTTAGTAAAGGTACTAAACATTAACTACAGCTAGACAATCACGTTAGAGGAATAGTTCTCGAAACATATAAGGAAAACTCCTAAAATTGTTACCGATCATTTATTCTACTGTTGCAATATAACATGTTCCATTGGCCATGCTAATAGTTTCTAGGTACTACCAATCGCTTTATAACGTGACCTAGACCGTATCGAAAGCTGAGCCTGTGACTCATACGAGTTTCTCGACTTCTGGACTTGAAGAGCTTCTTTTTTTATATAAATACAACTTGGTCAACATTCCCACGAAGGACCGGTGCAATCTCAACGACAACATGGTTAACATTCCTCATCTGTCCATTTGCACTGTGAGAACTTCTGAACCATTATCCAATTAACGATAGTCTTATTAAACGGAACTGGTTTGTTTTTGCGGATCGGTAATACGAATTATGTTGTGTCAATGTTTAACCTTGTTACTACATCTTTTAAATCCGGTTGACGGTTAATCCATTTTATCCCCTTATATCCCCAAGCGGTCACCGGTAACCGTTCTCCACTAACTGCATTATAGACCTTATTTACGATGTTTAGAGACTATTTTTGTATGAACAAATTTAGTGGATGATATTTCAGATATGTCAACAGGTTAATATAGTCTACACAGGTCACATTTCGAGAAGAACTTTTCACAAAATAGCAGTATCTTTTGGTAAGTCTTTACCGGCGTCACAAGAACTGTGTGGGCGTAATATCGTGCCAAATCCACTACAACGTTGTTCTTACTTGATTCGCTATTCATTGCTTTGAAGAACGTACTCTAAAGGAGACACTTAAGTTTTATCTGTTTCTAAATATAACTAACGCAGTGCTATGCGTAAAGTTAGGAGTACTAAAACTAGATCGATAGAAAGCGCTAGTCGCGTGCCTCGTAAAGTTTTATTGCCAACATAAGGACGAGAGTGCCCACGCCGACACATTGTTACAAAAGTTCATAAAACTCATTTAGTTATTCATTCATTGTTATACTGGAATATGTACTAGTTTCCTTTATTCTACAGTCCAGGGATATTGAGGCTCCTCCTGTTTCTATTCTATCTATTCTCCATTATAAAGCGTATGGTGTAAGAGAGCAAAACATACAGGTGAATAACCTGATAAGTCATGGCTATCAGCAATTACAGGATTGCACACAGATATAAAAATATATCAGTAACTCTACCGCCAAGTTCGTCAAACTGACAAGATTAACATTATAAAGAAACATCATATTTTGCTTTGTTTCACTTTGGGATGAGTTTGACAAAGGACCATTACAAGATATGAATAGTTTGCATATATCTTGATGAATACGACCTACGCCAACCAATTTTAAGCTACAGATTTGTTAACATTAGAATTGAGTTCTCATTTACCATATTTAAACATTTATTAGAAAGTAAAAAATATCGTGGAAATTCAAGTTAATATCTGCCTGCACCTCTAGAAAATGAAAGCGTACGTAATATAACTATGGGAATTATTGCATTCCAGTAAAGAAGTACTAAGGCAGGGCTCGAACCGAATAAAACAATAACTGTGCATTATTATCCAATCGATATTGACCTATTATACAGACTCACGAAGTCACGACGACGCAGTAATAATGTTATCAACTTCAAACGAAAGAATTTATATTTAAGAGAATCATATTTTCAATAATAACGCATCTGTCACTGCTGATACATTTCGTTCTGAAACGTGTTTTTAAATTAGATCACTGGAAATCTATTAAGACTGTTGGCCCATCATCAACAAATGCCTACATTGAAATAGCGACCTAAATGCAATTCGCCGCAATAAAAATAATAATAAGTATCTACAAATAACCTTGATTCTGGGACATAAGTGTAGAACAACATGTTATAATGCGAATCTCGAAACTAATCGATGTCCCGTTCTAAAATGCGTAACTAATGGCGAGTATCCGCGCATTGTTCCCAGAAAATCAGAACGAACTGTGAAAATTGGAACATCTGGTGTTTGGTGTCAATTGAAAAGAAATCCATATTGTTCGCTACATAGATATGTTCGACGAAATTAGTTGAGATCGACAGCTTAATGCATGCTTTGAACGAGAAAAGAGGTCGTGCATTGTACAAGAACGATGACTCACTAAAGCTTCGAAAGTTGCTTAGATAACACAAAAACAAGATGGTATGACTCTTATTATAATTGACATAGAGTATATAATTTGAATACAACTTTTTTCTAAGATCATGATAATCTGGCTGGCCAAAATTAGCCATAGTGAACGAGTGCAAGTGGTATAAGCATACCAAATATAGAATGGGATATTGCACCATGCGTACCGTTACTTGATCTCAAATGCTCGGTTTTGTGGGTACTAAGGTAACAGGCAACTTGATTCAAAGTTGTATGAGTTTAGTATACACGAGTCGACAGCGTGTCATCACCAGATGCAACACAGAAGTGGGCAAATCGATATGTTCTGGCCTATTAGATCATGCAATCTCATGTTTCCACATGCGAATGTGGTGTATTAACTACGTACTAAACTGAGTACAATGATACTTTAAAGACTGTAGTTCTAAAAAACCTATTTCTAAAGGGAATAACTAATAATGAAAAGGAAAAAGTCAGCAAGTTTCAGAAAGAAAACTTGCCAAAATAAATTATGCAATACATATCCCCTTATTTACATTCCATTTCATTCAAAAGTATGAACCGTGTGAAATGATCTGAATCGCAAATAAATATTAAATATAAAAAGTGAAATAACTTTGATATCAAAGCATAAAAACCTGTATTAACGCTCGACACCGGAAAAGTGCTCGATAACGAGGAACGGGAGGGAACGAAAGAAAAGTCTTTAGCATTGACAAATTGGCAATTTCCACAGTATAAAAATAGAAATGAACTTCGTTAAATCTTGTGTACGATTTTGTTATCTTTTAAGATCTCGGAGTTCAATATTTCAAAGCATTGTTACCTTTTCCGGTGGACCGAGATTTATGTTAAGGAAAGAATGAAATCTTTAGACTTGAGATGAGCAAGAAGAAAGAACATTTTTGGAGGGGATCGGTGCTTTCAGCCATTGTCTAGGTTAAAGGTTACTGAGAAGTGGATGTATTCTGACGTCAACAGTAAATTGTGCATTACAAAGGTTAGAAACATTAACAAAATGAATAAAATTATTTAAATCCTATTTAAAGCATTCTAGCTAGACATAATTATTTTAATCAGAGAAAAGAAACATAGGACAGAGGGTTGTTAACGCACATTATTTCCAAACTAAGCTTACATTAACCTTTTGTAAAGCAGGCGCACGCAATCAATCAGTGCCGGCTATTGCAAGAGATAATTATCACTTTTACAAGCCATTGTCTCCAGAACTTTCTACAGCCGGACAATGATACAGTGTCACTGATCGCTCACTGTTACGTGAACTTTGTTCTTCAAACTTCTTTACAGCTTTAGTCTCTTCGTGGTTGAAGTTTATTCTGCAAGCCTTTGAAGCTTGTTTTACAGACAAATAATTTCGTCAACTATTTCGCCATCTAAAGAATATTTCAAAACATGAAGTCCCGCTGTTTCTTTAAATGCTTCTTCATTATTCAGTCTTATCTAAACAACGCATCACAGTTGGAGCAAGACAATAATTGCAAAAGTCACAATTTCCACCGTATCTGCTGTCTGAATCTCGTCATGTTCCGTTGCTGGGATCGTTACATTGCAATAGCATTCATCGATGATGTTGAAAATTTTATGGAAACACAAAAGCAAAGTAATTTCAATAAATGTTAAAACGTTCGATAAATTACCACTTGAGTTGATTGTGGTCACTTGATTGCTGTCATAAACTCGACCATTACTCGGAGTATCGTAAACTAACATG